AAGACAACACACACCATGACACACAAGACAACACACACCGTGACACACAAGACAACATACACCATGACACAGAAGACAACACACACCGTGACACACAAGACAACATACACCATGACACAGAAGACAACACACACCGTGACACACAAGACAACATACACCATGACACACAAGACAACACAACGAGATGTCACAACAAGACAGAACACTACAGGGTAACATATTTAATCAGTTGACTTCTGGTCACATGACGTGTGATGTCACCGCTGCTGGTCGAATTGTCAGGTCATGTGACCAACATCTTTGACTCAGAAGAAACTGAAACAGGAAACGATTCAAATAAACACACAATCCCATCCTTATTAAAAAGTCATTCTTCAGATCACTTGATCAATGAATATGCTCTTTCCTCTGGGGTAACAACAATCTGTGCATCAGGAGATCAGTGCTACAGCTCCCCAAAGCCCTCGGAGGCCTAGCCTTGCCCAACTTCTTACATTATTACTGGTCCTGTAATATTCAGAAACTCTTATACTGGATTAACAACATGGGTGGATATGGAACTTGCATCCTCTAAACGCTCTCTTCATTCCCTGATATGTTCTCAGCTCAAGTCTCGGCCTTCATAGGGCCTCAGACCTCTCCCCCACTGTAAACTATCACCTGTTTCTGCCCTCATGCTCCAATCTAATCTTTCGGACCTGGTTTGACAAAGGGATAACTAAATGTAAGGACTTTTACAACCAAGGGATTTTGATGTCCTTTTCTGAGCTCTCAAAGAAATTTGACTTACCTAATTCCCACCTATTTGTTTTTTTTCAGATAAGGCATTTTATTCGGAACCAGAACCCCAAATTCCCTAGCCGTCCCCCAGAAACTCTGGTAGACTCCTTAATGGCTCTTGGCTAATTTCCAGCATTTATAGTCTTATCAACTCTACCATTGATAGCCCAGTGTCTGGCCCCAAGGATTCTTGGGAGCGAGAACTGGGAACCACGCTGCCTGATGACTATTGGCAACAAGTCTTACGGTTGGTTCACTCCTCTTCAATCTGTGCGAGGCACGGCCTTCTACAATGTAAAGTTGGGCACAAAGTTCATTACACTAACTTGAGGCTATCTCGAATTTACCCCAATGTAACTGACTTGTGTAATAGATGCAAACAATCTCCAGCCGTCCATTCCCATATGTTCTGGTTCTGTCCCAGGCTTGCCACATTTTGGTCTGAAATCTTCAAAACCATCAGCCTAGCATATAATATGACTATCACGCCGGAACCTCTCTTGGTCTTATTTGGTGCCCCCTTGCTGCCTATTACCACTAAAGTCATGCAGACTGTTCTTCCCTTTACCACCCTGTTGGCCAGGCGACTCATTTTACTTTACTGGAAACAGGCTCAACCTCCATCTCACACCAGGTGGCTGAAAGAGCTGTTACTGTCCATTAGACTTGAAAAGCTTAGATTTTCTCTCAATGGTTCCTTGAACTCATTTGAAAGGACTTGGAGACCTCTCTTCACTCACATTGAATCTCTGACATTTCTATCTGATTGTGATGACTGAGCCCCCCCACCCCCCTTTTATTTATTTTATTATTTTATGTATGTGTATGTGTATGTGTGTATATATTTCTATGTATATATGTTTTGTTTATTTTATTAATTGATGAATTAATGTATTTCTTGTATGCAATCTGTTTTGTTAATGTGACATCAAGGGATACACAATGTGGGAGGGATAAAAAGATAAGGCATCAAAAAAGGTCAGAATGGAAGTCTTCTCTGTCGCACGGCAAAGTTACGTTGTTGCCTGTGAAATTCCAATAAAGAAAGTTAATACAAAAAAATAAACACAATAAAAACGTGTCTATGTAAGAAAACAGTTCTTTAATATCTGTGCTCAGACGTGATGACAATATTTGACTCCTCAGTTTATAACAAGATGATAAATAAAAGATGATCTTCTGGTTTTGTGTCTTCGCTTCATTTCAAGCTTCAAAACATCGACGTTTTATTTTAAATTTCAGACCTCGTGTTTGTGATCGAGGTAAGTTACTGTGTGTCATGTGACCACAGCAGCTAAAGGAGAAATGATAACTAACTTGAAAATCATTAACATAATCAGCTGATCTCAGGAGACAAGGCCATCTGAATGTTTCTCTGAATGAACCTTTAACTATGGTTCTGCTCCTCTTGTCTCTGACAATGACCTCAGCTACACTCCCATCATGCTTTGCTGCTCCCTCAACCGCGATAATGTCATGTTTGTTCTCTTTGTTTCCAAAACACTAACGAGGTTGAGCAGCGACTGTGACCTCCAGAGATCGAGTCTGACTGTTCTCAGACAAACACAGCAGGTCTCCAACACGTTCTTCATTTGAATTGTCTCATGTTCAGTTTGTCTCAGATTCAGTTTGTCTTATATTCAGTTTGTCTCACTTTCAGTTTGTCTCAGATTCAGTTTGTCTCATCGATGTCAACAAGCAGCAACGTCCTCTGTCCTCAACAAGAGTCAAACTACAGAGACACTTTCTGAGCAGTAACTGAAGCTCAGAGTCACATGTGAGGATCCGTCTCCAGGACACGAGGACAATAGATGCTGATGAACTGAAGACATCAACACAACAACAGATTCACTACATTAGAAGAAACAGTTTGTGACTTCAAGTTTAAAGTATTTGTACATGAGGACATGTCTGATAGAGATGAAGGAGCAGACACATGAACTGAGGAGTTACTGATGAAGATGAGGAGACATGTTGTGTCTGGTTGTGATCATGGTCCACGATCAGCTGACACCATCAAAGTGCTGCTCATTGGTGAACTGTTGGTTTCTCTATATTAAATAAGATTTTAAGGTCTTGACCTTCTGTGTAAAGATTCTTGAGATCATGTGTATTATGATTTGGTGCCATAAAATAAAAGGAATTGAATAGAATCTCTGTTCACAATCACAAGATGTGAAGGTTTTAAATGAAGCTCAGTGACGTGACGACACAACAAGTTCCTCTCTGAAACCTAGAAGTTGACTTGAGCAGGTTTACGGTTCATCCTGCTGACGAACGCAGACATGAGCAGCTGAAGTAATGGTAATTCATTTACACTCGCTCTCAACCAATCAGGAGTCGGTCTCAGCTGTCAATCATGACGTCTCCGCCTGTTTCATCAAATAACTAATTCAAAGTTTTTAGTTTGGTCCATGCCCCATCTGCTAACATGGAGGAGGTTTATGACCTTCACTGCAGCCAGACACCAGGGGGCGATGCAGATGGTTGGGCTTCATTTTGGTCATTTTGAGCCAGTGTGGTTTGACTCACCGTCCTGGATCCTCCCTGCCAGAGCCTCTGAGCTGAAACCAGCGAACACCACCGTGTGTACCGCTCCAATGCGAGCACACGCCAACATGGCCGCCACGGCCAGCGGGGAGGTCGGCATGTAGATGGCCACCCTGTCACCCTTCTGGATCCCATGGCTCTTCAGCGTGTTGGCGAGCCGGCAGGTGGTCTCCAGCAGCTCCCTGTGGAGGACAGATACGCATGTCCCCACACTATTATGTATATGTACTGTGAATCATATGCAATGGTATATATAACACAAGCAAACGTACTGATGGTGAAGAAGCTTTTTAACACAGGACATTTTAAACACTGACGTTTGCTGACTGGTTTGAAAATGGACAGGTATGAAAATATTTTCCAGAAGTTGATGTCGGGTTAACGGTTCACATGATATCACGTTTTTACGACATCGCCTGAATCTCCCAGTGAGCGGCTTCATCAGCTGTGTGCGTACGGACAGTGAAACATTTCCTCTACGTTAAAGCTGCTGTGAGGACGACTTTAGAACAACAGTTGGATAAAGCTCAGCATCGTCTGGATACAGGGACCTTATCACTGGTGCAGATGATTCCAGATGTTCGTACCTGTATGTGACCTTCACCTCAGTGCCGGGTTCGTCCCGCTCCCAGATCAGAGCCACTCGGTCCGGATGTTTGTCAACATGGACGTCCAGACAGTTCACTGAGACAGATGGACGCAGAGTCAGAAGAACTTCTCACTGTGGTTTCAACATAAGATTCATCTGATGACACTAATTCATCCGGACTTTATTCTGGATCCACTACA